CGAGAAAGATTGCGCCGGGGAGGGGGGGTGAGCCCTATCAATCTGGAGGGGCCCATTATTAGGGGACCCATGCCGTTATTGAGGGCCAATGTAAGTAATTATTATTTTTGAAAAAAAATGCTACCTGCAATTTCTATGGGCCACCTGGTAAGTTTGGGCCCCTCAAATCTTGACCCCGCCCCCTCTCGGTCGCATTGTACTATTTACAAACCTGTGGTTATCTTGTCCAAAGCAAATGCTACGTAGATTGCTGCTGGAATACTAATAATGTTAGAAAGAAGTGATAGAGAGGAACTAACACATTGTCTACCACATGCCTCTAATATACCATCCAGCATAGCCTGAAAACAGATGAAAAAAATACCACAATAAACAACATTTACATCTTCCCCTTCTATTGAATGAATGTATATGGTTTATTTCCTTGTAACTGTTTTGAGACCTCTTCCACTGCTATCTAAATATCACTCTATCTACCCCGAAGAGGGATATATTTTACTAGTGTCTGCATGAAAATTCCTACCCACCTCAGCCCGATTATGCTCATTATTGGGGATGAAGCAAGAACATTTTAAATTAGACACCTCTAGATCCCCATAAATGGCACACCGAGACTGTAAAAAATTCTGCATTCCGACGGAGGGTTGAGGGTTTTGTTCTGTCAGATAAAAACGTTTTGTGCCTTATGCTATACCGGTTTGAGCCGAAAGACTGCGCGTTATTGGCATAGGCGTAGATCCCGGGGGGATGGGGATATATCCCCCCAATATTTGACAAGGGGGGGGGGATGTATCATTGTATCACCCCCCCCCAATATTTTACTATGTATGGGATAAAATGGAGCTTTACACACTTCAAAAGACTGTCACAGAAATAATTTGCACTGTCTTATGCGCTTACAGAGATGAAAATTAGCATAATGTATTAATGTTGATAACATAATTATTTTATCTGGTACCAATCTAAGCTCTTCTTTCCTTAGATGTTAGATGTGCTTGCAAAGAGAGCCACATTTCACACTGAAAGGTGTGTACGACATTAGTAATGTTATGTCAATTCCAAGAATGTTTAAGGTTACCGGTATATCGGTTGATGAGGAATTTATTGATTAGGCCTATAATAGCAAATTGCATCAATTTATTTTGCAAAAACAAGGTTTCCAGCTTCAGAGGGGGGCGGGGCACATCCCCTGTCCGCACAAGGGCACACATTGGCACTAACACAAGGCGCGTAACAGGGGTCTTGGGTCAGAGTGGGTATTTATTTTCTCGGTTAGTAATTTACTATACCTACCCCACCATACTTCCCATATAGAAAATAATACGACATAGGGCTTATCTTATTTATAATATAGGCCACACACGTGTGTTTGAAACTAAATATAAGCATTTTCATCATGGTTTTAATTATTACAAACATAATAGAATATTATTCTTTCACCATCAATACACATTGAGGACCTTCTTTTAGGTTAAAATGATCTATCTTAAATTTGTCTTTCTTGAGTTTGGGACTATTATGTGTTTAAATAACTTAAATGGATAAGCCTAAAAAAGCCCTAAAAAATGCACGCGAAGCGCTCAAAATATTTTTGTGTTTTTAATTCTAATTTCGTCGGAATTGATGAAAACTTCCTAAAATTTGCAATTTATAGAGGAAATTGCCCTACCGTAACAAGAAATGCGCGCAAAGAATTTGAGAATTTTAGGCACTTTCAGAGGATGCATTTGTCAAGGGGTGGGGAAAGATTTTCCAAAAATGGATATTTTCCCCTGTCCCCCGGTGTTTTAATTCTAATTTCGTTGGAATTGATCAAAACTTCCTAAAATGTGCAATTTTTTTAGAGGAATTTGGCCTACGTTAACAAGAAATGCGCGAAATTTGAGGTTTTTAGGCACTTACAAGGGATGAAAAGGGCATTTATAAAGGGGTGGGGAAGATTTTTCAAAGATAGATATTTTCCTCTTGTCCCCCAGTGGTTACGCCATCGGGCAGCATAGATCAAAGGAGTTATGACAGTTTTTGAAGTGGAGAAGTGGCTGCAGGGTGTTGTGAGTCTGGTCATTATGATATCTTCCTTTTTATTCTTGTCTTTATTTTTCTCTTCTCTTTTTCTTTTTTCCCCCTTTTTTTTCCTCTTCTTTCTCTTTCTCTCCCTCTCCCCTCTTTCTTTTCTCTTATTACCCAGCCCGGTACGACGGCTTGGTCAGCCCGGTATAAACCGTCAGGGGAGGGGAAGTTTTCCCCTGCCCCCCCTCCCCCGCGCCTGTT